CATTTTACTTGCTATCTGAAGTACAAACATATTATTCTGCTGTGTGAAGACTTCTCTCTTATTTAAGTAAAGCTTGATATCCAACTAAAAGTGAATTTCTTAGACTTCTTATTCGATTAAATATACTGAGAGCTCACAAAGAAGCAGCAATTTCGAATGCCAAAGTGACACTGAGAAGAGGCGTTTTGATTGGTTGTGGATGTCAAGGCTAGCAATGTCTGTGCTAACATAGCGGTATGAGAGCTGAAGCTGCTGGCATCAACAGAGAAACAAGTGAGTATGGTTTTATGCCACTTTTAGCAATATTCCTGCAATATCACAGCAAGGGACAACAGTAATGGGTTTCATACATTGTACCCATGTGGGGAATCAAACCCAAGTCTTCAGTGTGACAAGCGAACGCTTTAACCATTAGGCTACCCCACCACCCCCTCAAAGAAACAAAGGAGGTGGAGGTGAATGGATCTGTACCCAGAAAAATCAATGAACTCTCTTCACCTTCCATTCAAGATCAACAGAAAGGGACATCACATTATGTTAGTAAGTGCACCAAATATTGGAGATCTGCCCTCAAATTTCTACTTTGAGCAAGTTGGAAATACCATTGCACAGGCACACCTTTCACTTGTACAGTACTACAAGAACAGGACGAGCATGCATATAATCAAGATCATGCATATGTGCATGATTCTTCCAAGAAAACCCATCAAGTTCACTTATATTATATAGACATTATATAGAGAACATAATACTAAAATCTTGGATAGAGAAATATGAATATTTTTATCAAATATACATTGTAGTACCCATACACACCATGGCTCTCCAGCGTCTTGGTTGAGGAAGGAGAGAATAGGGTCAACTGTAATCAATGTAATCGGCACCTTGGTTTGTGGAAGTAAGGCCAAAGGGGTCGTTGTCATCTGAGGAAACTTGTTTCACGATCCAGTTCACTACACCTGCTAAACTGACATGAATCGTCCACATTTAAGAGATAAACCATGTTCTCAGACAGCCAGGTACATTTCTGCATAATGCTGTCATGTAGTGAGCAATGGAGAGTGAGTGAGTGGTTTTGCAACGCTTTTAGCAATATTCCAGCAATATCACAGCGGGGGACACCAGAAATGGGCTTCACACATTGTACCCATGTGGCAAATCAAACCCAAGCCATCACTTTAGCCACAAGGCTATCCCACCACCCCGCAACGGTGGGGGTGAGTTGAGTCTAAAACTCTGAACATTTTTTTTTAATCAGTGTTATCATGGCAAGTCAGCCTTAGGTGTGAGGCAAATCCAAAGTGATGTAGGTCTAAAATGTCTACAACTTTGGTGAAACCCTTGACCACAGGCAAGATGCTGACAAAGCTTGAAACATAATCAGTTTGGATCAGGATTCAGGGCCCCTATTCTCGAAAGTGTCCCAGCTAAGACAGATCCTAAGTAGTTAAGACAGAAGTTAGGACATCCTACCGTTAGGATAAGACCCATTCTCGAAATGATCCTATCCTTGTCCTAACTTGAGCTACCGATCCTAGCTAGGATAGAGAGCTCTTCAGTAGGTGAGATAGAAATACATTCATTAAGTTGGGGATTCCCCTACATATTACCCATGATTCATTCCATAAAAAACACATAATATAAGGAAATTCAGCTTTTGATGGACTTATTAGATCTAGAAGAAATTATTTGATATATTCATCACATTATGGTAGTTTTGAAGTTTTTGAAAATTCATGTTTTGACAAGGCAATGACAATTTTACTTCAGAATTTGAACGTCTGCCAAAAAACGTGCAAAAAATATATCATTGTATTATTTTTTTTAATGAAAATCAGGACTTGAACTCTCATTATGCGTCATCTCACAAACTGAAAAATTCACCTAGGAAATAAACAGGAGTTACTTCCCCTATCAAGTTGGCCTTGACATTGACATTTCATGGCAATGTGACTGAAAAGAGCCATGTTGTGATTAAAAAGGCCGAGAATAGGTAAGAATTGAACAAATCTCTTTTGTTGTTCTAAAGAATATGTGCATTGCAACAAGTGTGTCTATTCATTACCGATAAATTGATAACATAAACTCAAAAACTCTTTGTAACACATCAAAACTGTGTGCTGTTGTAAATTCAAATGTAATTTAGGCGAGGTATTTTGTTTGACAACGTCACAATTGGTGAACATTCAAGACCCACACTATGTTGACTTCCACAAAGATATACTTAGGACAAGCCAGAACCTATCCTAGTATTTGTCCTAAGTTAGGATATCCTAGCGCTAGGATACTTTTCGAGAATAAGGTAGGACACCTATCCTAGACCCTAGGATCAAAGTTAGGATATCCTAGGGCTAGGATCCTTTCAGCTAGGATCCTTTCAAGAATAGGGGCCCAGATATCTGGTATGCCTAAAGGTTTCCACTCATCAAATTCCCTTGCCACAGATGAGTAGGCTACATGTGCCCTCCTGTATATGGAAGTCAGTCAAAGCCCAGAGGTGTACCAGCCAGCACATGCGTAGCAATTACTCACATACTTTCACTCCTGCCACCTATGATGTGGACAACTTTACTGAACTGTCCCATGACACAATGCAGCAGAATTGTATAAAAATAAAGTCATTTGGTGGTTTTGGTTTGGTTGTTTAACGCCGCACTCAGCAGTATGCTAACTATGTGGCAGCGGTCTGTAAATTATCGAAGTCTGGACCAGACAATCCAGTGAGTGAGTTTAGTTTTATGCCGCACTCAGCAATATTCCAGCTAAATGGCGGCGGTCTGAAAATAATCGAGTCTGGACCAGACAATCCAGTGATCAATAGCATGAGCATCGATCTGCGCAACTGGGAACCGATGACATGTGTCAACCAAGTCAGCGAGCCTGAACACCCGATCCCGTTAGTCGCCTCTTACGACAAGCATGGGTTACTGAAGGCTCATTCTAACCCGGACCTTCACTGGTCAGACAATCCAGTGATCACCAGCATGAGCATCAATCTACGGAACTGGGATACAAGTCAGGAAGCCTGACCACTCGATCCTGTTAGTCGCCTCTTACAAGCATGGGTTCCTGAAGATCAATTCTAACCCAGATCTTCACGGGTTTCAAACAAAGTCAAGTGACAACACATCACAATACTGTGTAGACGTTGCACGGGATGTAACTCTGCATAGCAAAATGCGACACTTTAGAGCATGTGTCCTTGCTATTTCAATCCTTGTATTAAAATGAGTATTAATAACACTGGATAACTGTTGTTTTGACAAATGATAAAGGAGGTAAGTGCATACTTTCGTGTATTGATTATGGAGACCTTGGTGCTAATTACATTGATTACAATATTTTTCAGCTATACATAATAAGTTGGCATGGTAATACAATATAATTAGATACTGAATATCTTTGAATACACCTTTGAGGTATCATAAGCAGTAATATACACAATGGGGGTACGGGACCAGGTCCTCCCAAGGGCTCAATTTTTTCAGAATTTCGAACATCGTTTTTTTGCTAGAATTTTGCTTCAGCCCTTGGGAGGACCTGGTCTTGTACCCCCATTGTGTATACTACTTAAGCCATCTTTCAGTTTGCCCTTGGTATCATCCTCAGCAATGGAGGGTGTATTTTCCTTAACTTGATCCAAATAACAACCCTTATCATCAAGTAACTATCACCAATATACATCAGGAAATGTTTCTACTGTTTTCATGCCTATAGCTGTTTGGATCAATTTGTCACCTGCGATAACAATGGAGAGCTGGTTATAGTGAAGCCTCATTGCCTGTGTTACTTGTGCCTCCTATTAATACCACACTGAAACATATCAAATTATCTATCCGTTTTTTATATCATATGCAGGGATTTACTTCGTAATTTATTCTGGGACTAAACCTTTAACTGTATTGGTGCAAGGTACTAAGATAATACTCTTAACTTGAATACTCTACTCTACCACTGACTTATCTGCAAATGTTTGCACTAGACTTTGAAGCAATCAACTTTGTATAGTATTTCTTAAATAATGACATATCAAAGTAACTTTTCTACTGTGAAATAGAAGTACTCATTACTAATCATGCATACAAATTATCTGCACCCTCATGGACTCTCCATTTTTGTATGCCCATTTTCAGGATGCAGGATTTTATGAATATTTCAACCAGCATATCAAAGTTGCAATTCACACGAATTTTAGAAAAACTCATATTTGGGATTAAACAGAATGTTGATCATCTACAAATCAATATCTGAATAGTAGGGGTGAAACTATACAGCAAGGTCGAAACAATACAACTCATGATATGTCACGATACACATTATGATACACATGTTCAGATCAAATCGTGTTGAAACTTAACCACAAACATTTCAGAGCCGATTCCAAAGGTAACATTAACTCTTGATTCATGCTTGTTGATGCTATTTTTAGTAGTGAACATAAAACACTAATCGCAATTCGTTTTGTGATATTTGACTGAAAAAAATGCCAGGGTTAAGAGTGTTATTAACCAAGTCATGGTATGTTAACAAGCATATCGCTTGTATCGATACAGAGAAAAAAACATATCCCATTCTAGGACTTCTGTCCTACCCTACAACAAAGCACACCTTAGGTGTGGTCTCACCTTAGGCAAGTGAGTTTGTTCAAAATTGCCTCTGTTCACCCAGCAGAAAATGGGTACCCGGTGGGATAAATCACATGACTATTAACCTTCCAGTGCCTCATAGGCAGTTTTGGTTATCCCGGGGTAATAATAGCTTTCCCTGACTGTGCGCTTTGAGCATTCTTATGTTTAGAAATAGTGCAATAGAAATTCACTATTATTATTATTATTATTACAACATCACATGAAAACTCACCATGCACCAGTGTATCGTCTCACCCTACTGAACAGACACAAAGCTATGCACCAGTATGAAAATATGAATAAAAACGATCAACAAACCAATCAATACTATATTGAAATAAAACAAATGAAGCAAAACAACGAAAATACACATCACATATTCCAACATGAGTATTTAATTGCATCATTCCATTAAATGAATCAAAACAAGTACATATAAAACTTGAACAATTTTTACAAAAGTGTTGGTATGGAATTGCATAACAACAAGTTCATTGATATTTACAAAATGCATATCAACTCCCTTACACATTCCAGCACAGACCATAAGCTCATTCTAAAACTGATATTATTAAAATGAGAGGGCCATCTTGGATGTAAAAACAGCTACTAATATGGCATTATGCTATTTAATTAAACCGTATTCAATAACTATAACTCCAAAGATTGTGATATGATAAAACAGTTTTATAGTAACAGACATTTAATTGATGAACAGTAAACGTAATGGTTTTAAAAAAAAATGTTGCCATGGTTACCTCCAAATACCATCATCACAACTCTCCACAAGCATAACAGACAACAAAGTAATCAGACAAGCTGTCTACCACATCTACACATCTGGTTGTTGTACTGAAGCACAGCATTGTACATTTGGTTTTGACAATAATATAAGCATAACAGTTTTAACAAATTTCATAATTTCACCATGGTTAATCAAAATAGTGTTTTGTAGAAATATACAGATATTAACATATAATGTACTTGTCTAAGGTCTAACATGCATCAAGATTGACAGCCAAAATACACTTTGTACAGGTGACAAGACAGTTGTTTGAGGTTTCCATCATTCCATCCGATTTTCCACACGATAATGAGGACCTAAACCAGGCCCCAGGAGTAACGAACATATTCGTTTACATGTATATACTTACATACAAGCCTATTCTGTAATGAAGTCATTAATTTGGTTAATAACAATGTAATTATAAAACTATATTTTCATGAATTGTGTGTTTGATTTCAAACATTTCAAACTGAACTTAGAGTGAGTGAGTGAGAAGGGTTTTATGCCACTTTTAGCAATATTCCAGCAATATCACGAAGGGGAACACCATAAATGAGCTTCAAATTTCAGAAGAAATCCTTTAAGTTCTAAACAATGACGTAATGTATTCTTTCTCAATAAACTATTGACCAGTGTTGTCCCCGTCAACAATTTGATCCTTCCTTAATAGTAAAAAAGAATATTATTAATGATAATTATTTCCTTCTTTAAGTTGTGGATTTTTGTGTTGTGGAATGAGGACAAAAATCCATATTCTGAAAGCTAATGAAGCAAATTAATTTACGTAAAGATCCATGTTCAACAAGCCTAAAGGAAGATTTGGGGATATGAGAATGAAATACTATAGGCCAAACTTTAAAAATCAAAGGATCCCTTTAATATTGAACACTGATACATTACTGACCGTGTTCACTCATGCAATGATTTCTAACTGTATTCTTGAAACAATACCCACATACATAGAGTTCACTAACAATCCCAACAAGTGTGACTAGAACAATACTTCTACCTCAGACAAGCCAGCATGACAAGCCAACATGACAACTGTCATGACCCCTGTAGATGATTGCATATACCCATCCATAAATACATGTCCACTATGTACAACAGTGTATATTACTGTACCAACCCACACAATACAAACACACCACTCTTACCTTAGCCTGGCAAATTTGAGGTATTTATTCAAATTCCTGAAATTAATGATTTTTTGGTGATGTTCTCTACTGTATGGTACTACAGTTACCATGGTTACCACGTGTAAATGACATAAGTTCTACAATCAGTATGATTACTTGGCAACACAGACTAAGGCTGTGTGTATACGTTGCTTGAAACCCTAGAGTATATATATTCATATTATATTTCTTCTTTGATAAAAACACTTTGAAAGATGTTGAAGTCGTACAAAAGAAAACCTCAGAAGAAGAATAAACAAAGAAATAAACATAAACATGAAATATAAAAATATCAAGAATATTTAGTGGTTATACTGTGCACATATATATGTGTCGAGCCCATCATGAATTATAAGTTATATAACAATCTCATTAAAATCAGGTCTTTTCTAACGATACAATACCATTCTGCAAAAGATCAGAGGGCAATCCCACAGAAGGTTGCATTTGGTCAACCCAGAGCAAACTTTGACCAGCCAGTTAAAACACATGGGTTTTTGAGCCAATCAGACATTAGTTTTCAAGTCTTGTCTCATTTCTTCATTGCTTCAATTCCAAAATGATTGCTGCCAAAGGAAACTGCAACAAACCCAGAATACATCCTCTATGATAACCTTTTTGGTCATAGATGGCCTGGCACTTAACATCAGAATGTGTTAACTGTCCACAATATTACAGCTTGGCATTACTTTTTCACATTCAGATTTCATCCAATATACTAGTAATCAAGATACCGAAATCAGATATGCTCATCTGAATACTTCGTTACCTTGTAACCAAGACTTCAGAAGACTTGACACTGATTGGCTGAGTAGAAAGCCGACCTGATACTGTTTCCTATGGAGTGAGCGAGTATGGTTTTGTGCCGCTTTTAGCAATATTCCCTCAATATCACAGCTGGGGACACCAGAAATGGGCTTCACACATTGTACCCATGTAAGGAATCGACACCAGGTCTTCAGCGTGACGAGTGGACGCTTTAACCATTAGGCTACCCTACCACCCCTGTTTCCAATGGAAGTGGCCATGACCTGCAGAGAGGTACCCTATCACAGTTTAAGGTTATTTTAATGAGACTGGATTTATTACATTCTCATTTATTTCAGCTAAAATGACAATAGTACACATACCAGCATACAGTACCCTTGAACATGTTCCAGTTTCAAAATCAATCTAAAGCCAAACGAAACTTGATCCACTGTCATAAATGAAAATGCAATAATTCATAAATACCCTACAACATTTGAAAGAGAAACTTTACAAATTTCAAATAAAATAAAAATCTATGTCAAGATGATGTGATATACATCAGCAGCATGACAGTACAGCCATGACAATATTTGACAGTTCCAATAAAATCTGCATGACGTGAATGCATCAGTGAACTCCTTGAGGCTTGTGAATACGTTCTTCCCATAGAAGACTCTTGTCGAGCATGAAACACAATCAGGGACCATCTCAAACTGTCCCATTATCCAAAAACACTGGATCAATATTCTAAAACACTCTCATTAACCAACATATTTGAAAAACAAAAAAGGTAACAAGATCCATGTATCTTGTATCTCTTATTGCAAAAGACAATTTGAATTAATAGCTTGAGAAATTTTGCGACAGCCCCTCATCAAAATGACATGCTTCTTAGTTTGTGCAATGGGAAAGACAGACACTGATCAGATCACAACACTATTGACGCCTGTTGTCCTTCTCCAGGCAGACAGAGTTCAGAGGTCCGTTTGTGCGAACCACGGTGTGCGCTGGCAGACCATATGACTTGTCTGTCACATTGTTAACAGGGTCATATAAGGGCGTCTTCCACGACCCTGAGTCTCCAACATCCTCTGTCACCACCAGCAGGAGTTCCTTGTCTCCATCCTCCAGCTGATCCTGAAGGAACTCCTTCACTGCTGACTCATCGCCAATCAGCTCTGGACAGTCCAGCTTTGAGTCCAGGTTGAGGTATTGATCTTGCACTTTCCGAACAGAAATCCAGTGTTTCCTGTGAATGGGCAACCGCACAAAGCCCCACTTATAGTCTGTAGGAATATTCAGGATGAAGCCCATGATGTTCTCTACTTTCAAGCAGTCGATGGTCCTGCAATGAAGACATTATAGGCTTTTAGCTATAGTACTCAGCTGATGGTGAGTGAGGGAGAGTGAGTTTAGTATACTTTTCTTAGACTGGACTTGTCTCTCACTTGAGTTGGGTGGTTGGTTTGTTGTTTAATGCCGCACTCAGCAGTATTACAGCTATATGGAAGCAGTATATAAATAATCGAGTCTGGACCAGACAATCCAGTGATCAACATCATGAGCATTGTTCTATGCAATTGGGCTACAATGACATGTGTCAACTAAGTCAGCAAACCTTTCCACCCAATCCTCTCAAGACAAGTATGGGTTACTGAAGATCAATTCTAACCCAGATCTTCATAGGTCAACCAAGTCAGTGAGCCTGGCAACCCGATCCCTTTAGTCGCCTCTTACGACAAGCATGGGTTACTGAAGAACAATTCTCACATAGATCTTCATGGGTTGTAAGATGACTGCATCCAATCTCATGTTGTATGCATGAAGGAAGCAATATTTGCGTCTGGTAAAACCTGCACAACACCAGGTGAAGTGAAGTGAAATTGAGTTTAACGTCATGCTTGAGAATATTTTGCTCATATGATGACGTGCATGCGTGTGTATGTGCGGCTGCTTGTACTAGCCCAGACTTAAGCTGGTTTTATAGTGCTAGCCCATTGAGATACCATGCATGAAGCATGAATACCCCACTCAGACACATTATACTGACTCCGAGCCGACCAGTCCTTGTTGTACCCATTAATGCCGAACGCCAGGCAGGCACCAACAAGTACCATATTTTAACGTCTTTTGGTATGACGTGGTCGGGGATTGAGCCCTGCGACCTTACGCTCTCCGGGCAGACGCTCTAACCACTACACCACAGAGGCGGTCGCACACCCCTAGGACAAATGTTGGGAATACAATGAAGGCAAGTACTTACTTTCTCTTATCAAACCAGATAGTGTCATAACCTTTCCTCTGAAGTGCCGCCATGATAACATTTACGTCATAGTTACCAAGTCCGAGCAAACTTCGATGAGGATTGATGAAACTTGACGGTGAAAGCCTGTGAAAAATCAAACTTAAAACAGAGGGGGGAATACAGTCGATCACTGAAGTTCTACTCTAATTCAGCTACCCACTACTTATCATGCAGTTTAAACTAGCTATCAGAAGCAGAGCAGACCATAGTTACAATGATGGAGTTGTCACTTTCTCTTTGAATGGACAACTATTTTTAGCAGCATGCTATTTGATTCAGGTATTATAGCTTAGTATTAACTATCAAGCTACAATACAAAAAGGATCAACATCAATTACCACAATGGAATGGAGATTGAATTCACTGTAATTGACGTTGAACTTTAGCTGCATGCTTGTAACTTTGTTCTGTTTTTAGAATCCATAATCTATGGATGTCACATGCTAAATCTTCAGCCTCGATTAAAGATGTCAAATTTAAAAAATACAAAAAAATTATTTCCACCACTATGACCAAATATCAGCAGCTCATAATGGTTGTTGTTGATGCTGTAAGGGTGAACTTGTATCTTCATCTTAAACTGAAGGTCTGTCAAATTTCAAACACACAAAAGATTAACTCACACCACGTACCAGCTAATGATAAGACATAAAACAGGCAGAAATAGCTCAGCAATTGGCAAACATCACATAAATTCTGATTAATTATATGGTGTCATATTGTCTAAAACAGAACAAGATTTGTTTGAGTAGGATTTTGGTTGCATCAAAAATTCCTATCAACTTCATAAACGCTCAAGTCAACATATGATCAACTAGGCTATGGAATGTTAAAGGATAAGCAGAACCAGTAGATAAAAGCACTGTAAAAAAAAAAAAAAATTAAAAAAAATATTAAAAAATTCAATGTTATACTGCATACCACATACTACTGAATAATGCATGTGAAATTCATGGCCACACTACTGAATAATACATGCCAACCTCATGACCTCAGCATTCTAAATTCAAGTATACCAAGGAACAACCTGAATGCACAAAAGCACACAAATAGGTTATTTTTAGCATCTGAAACTGAGTTTTAGAAACACAATCGTAACAACAACACAAAATAATGACAATTCATTTTAACGTAATGATAAATTATATTCAGTTATATGTTAACTTATAAAATGTGCAAGGAATTTGAACTAAAGTAATCCATAATAGACTGCAGACAGGCTTTCTTTCTTTTTTGTGAGAGGAAGTAAACAAAGTACTGAAATAATTTCAATAATAATTTTCTGAAGCAATTTTGTTTCATCTAGTCTGATATTATATATACATTTCAGCACTTATCAAGTGAGTAAGTTTTACGCCGCTGTCAGCGATATATCACAGCACTGTTCCAGCTCTTTGATGGTAAAATGGCAGTTTTCATCTGACATGGTTAAATTCAAGCTCTTTTAAAATCTGTGGAAACCCTGAATGAGCAGGATGGACATATTTAATCTGATGAAAACAAAGCTTGCATGACTGATTCTTGGGTGGAAGCTGAAATTAAATACATGATTGTAAAATTATGGAAACAGCCTCAGTGTAAGTTTAGCGTACCAGTACTGCTATTATCTTTTGTTTTTGTATTTGTTCAAACCTGCTCTCAGCAACATTCCAGGTATATGTCGGTCTGTAAATAATCAAGTCTTGACCAGACAATCCAGTGACTGACATGGAGAGGATCAGTCTACGCATTTAGGATACAATGGCATGCATGGACCAAGTCTGCAAGCTGGACATTCTGTTAGTCGCCTTCTACAACAAGCATGGGTTGCTGAAAACCAATTCTAATCAGGATCTTCTCAGGTCACCTTATACAATATGTAAAGGATCAAAACCGACTCCGAGGTTTTGCTTGAAAAAGTAAGCCTGCGGCAGAGGGCCAATAGGCCCGCCCCGATTTCCCGAGGCCAAGGGCTTACTTGTTCAAACAAAACCGAGGAGAAGCTTTGATCCAACTTATGAACCGACCGAAGATATACTTTACATATAATTTTAATATTTGGTATTTACTGTTGAAATCAACTGGGATGCGACTGGCAGCTAATACCTTGCCTTGCACATGCAATGCAGTGCGCTGCCCGCACTACCTGTCTTGCGAAAAACACATGGTTCATACTGACAAACAATCTCATTCTTCACAGAGATCCTTTGTAGCCTAGTAGATAAAACCGCCAAGCTAGTAAGCGAAGGGTTACAGGTTCGAAACCAGACATTGGCACACTATATTAGACGTTTTCAATACTGAGATATTTTATGATCGTATTCAGCAATAGCAAGACAAAGTTATAGCAATATTCAAAACAAGCAAAATAATTCAAAGTCAAGAGCTATTCCTCAGAAAATCCCTGAGATACAGGCAATTGTGTAGAAATCTGGGATTTCTTGGAGAATGCCCGCGAAACTGCCTGCAGAGGTTTACTCAGTAAAAGGAGGTGAGGTGAAATTGGGTTTAACGTCGTACTTGAGAATATTTCGCTCATATGACGACGTGCATGTGTGTGTATGTGTATGTGCGGCTGCTTGTACTAGCCCAGAATGAAGCTGGTTTTATAGTGCTAGCCCACTGAGATACCATCCCGCAGTGAAGCATGAATACCCCACTCAGACACATTATACTGACTCCGAGCCGACCAGTCCTTCTTGTACCCATTAATGCCGAGCGCCAGGCAGGGAACGACAAGTATCATATTTTAACGTCTTTTGGTATGACGCGGTCGGGGATCGAACCCACGACCTTCCACTCTCCGGGCGGACATTCTAACCACTACACCACGGAGGCGGTCTCAGTAAAAGGAGAACCTGGCGAGACAATAGAGTGACGTCACTGGAGGTTTATAAGACAGTCTACATCTTTTATACTGTCACTTGCTTTTTTGACATTATTAAGGTAGAGCAACATTATGTTCATAAAGCAATACAGATTACAGTCTGTACTAACAGTAGTTTCAACGTTTATGGTGTTTAAGTTTTGTTATCATCAAGAGATATACTCATGATCTTATGAAATCCTCAGTTTCCATCAACACAATCAACATGGTAGTAAATATTTACCTTGTACAAATTTCATCCAGGTCTTTCTTAGTGAAAGCATTTTTCTGCTGGAAGAGGTTGTTCAAGGCATGCATTGCGCACAGTTCCTTTATTTGGCGTTCATGGTAAACCCCTGTGTCAGCTTCCTCTGGCTCCCCCATTGTGCCGCACCTTGCAATATGCAGGCCCATACCAAGTACCCCACATTCAATCTACCACCTCCAAGACAATGGCACTGGAACATAGAGAAACATGTTTGCATAAATATACTTCACACATCATGTACACAATCAGGAAAACTTTTAACTAATTACCAAGTTTGTCACAAATAAAATCCAAAAAGAGGAAGAACAAAGTATGTACATGGTAAGAAAATGAATAGACTGTGGAATCTGTCAAAATAGAGCACTGAATAATCTGGATATCTGTCAATACCAGAAAACATTTACATTCCCCAAATAATGATAAATATTAATTTCAGCTTCAACTTATTTTTTCTATTACCTATTTTCAAATATATGCTCAAGTCTCACTGAGAAGGATCTGTCAAAACTGAAGTGATCTGTTCATTCCTCCGAAGTATTAAAGGGCAAGTTTCATTACAAAGAAGTATTAAAGCTCGAAGAAGCATGATACCAATTGGAAATGTCAAATGTTTAAGTAGCATAAAATGTTTTGAAATGTTGGTATGACAATTTATACATGATACCTCGTCCACTATCTTTCTTAAACTTCAAACATACTTGCAAGTTATGGACAGTTGATATAACTTTATAAGGGAATTATAATGTTTGGTCATTCATTAACTTTGTCAAGGAATGCATATAAAGACATTCATAAGTAATCATGCTGATAAAAGCAATATACAAAGATTTAGCTGTTTTAATTAAAGCATCATTGTTAACAAATTAACACATAGAAAATCCAAATCAGCACAAAGGCAGGAATTCTAAAGTGCATAATACTGAAATTCTTTGAATTCGATAAATGATGAATTGTAACAAACTGATTGATGAATAATCATGATGAAATTAAAAATGAGGCCCAAAACTTTGCTGATAATGTTGATGAACTGATGTATTTTGAAGATCATACCAGAGTTTGAACAGACAAAATCTGCTAAAACATGAATTGTGTAATATGGACTATCTTTCTGTCTTCAGCATCTGCAATGGTCCTCTTAAGGGAGAATAAGTTCATATTTTATAATAAACAAAATATCCTGATATATATAAGAACAAATGAATCTGCACTTTTTGGAAGGTTTTAAGTTCTGTACATACATCTTCACTATGGACACTAATGCATACTTTCTGTATTTCTCTTAACTTTCATCTGTACGTGTAAAGAATGATAGAACACTTGAATCGTACTTCAGTCCCTAACATAATATTAGTTAGGGTTAAATAATATGTGCACAACGTAAAGTCATTCAGGATACATCTGATAAACCCTGATTTTTTAAAATATTCATCACAAATCAAACTTCATTATCGAGATAGCCCCAGTATCACACATGCTTCAACTTTTGTTTTGTAAACAGCATTATCATGCTGTTCACAAACAATGGGTAGTTGGGGGCTTTCATAATTACCAAGTATGATGTAATGTGTCGTAAATCGGTCGTACATAATCGTATTGACAGTTCAAATGTCACAAAATGAGAGCACAACAAATCCAATCCAATCACAAAACCGGAAGCGGTAACAATTGTAGGATCGCAAAGAATATAGAAATGAATTTTCGTTCCATAATAGTTATGACGGGAGTGTTCTTATAACATACATTATAATTATACTACATCATATGAGCAATTCTGGATATCTGAAATATTTTTGCTACATCGATAATGCCTACAATTCAAAGCTGCCGAACGATTTTTGTTACTTCCGGTAGTAAAATAGTGATGACATGGTGGTGAAAGCAGACAGCGATCTAAGTTATTGAATGTTTCTGTTGCAACCATACGCAAGGTAGGTTTCATGGGTATTGCACCAGCTTCAAAGTTCGTCAGACTATTCACAGATATAGTCTGGCCGTCTTATTGTAGGCGACAGATTAATGTACGAAGCTTTACGTAGCAATAAGTTAAGAGAAACTTTGTTGCTCGATTCGATGTGGACAGAAAACATTTATGCATCAAACGTTGTTGGGCATGTGACGTGAAATTCTTAAAGTGTAATGTAGCTGTGTAGTTATTAAAATGTGAAGAACGGTCTTTCAAGTCAAAGATCTGCACCTGACTGCCAATAATCAGGTTCACAGATGGTCAGTGAGGATCTGGTGAGTGGACCAATTGTTGTAGTCGAGCCACATGTGTTCAACAGCTGTCGTGACAATGTACATGCACCGTTAAGAAGAGAGTGATTAATTTAAATCATTCTAAATCGTTATCACCTGCTTTTTGTGCTTACTTCAGAACTGTTGGAAGTGAAATATATGCAGCATTTGGAGTCTAATGACAAATGTAAAATGTAGGTTCTTTCGTGTTCACAAAGTCTGTTTAGTTCCAGCTATTATGTATATTAAGTATTCAGTTTTGTAAATTGTGTTACTAATCATGCTGTCAATCACTCTACCATGTCGTCTTATGTAATGAAATTGCTTATCCTAACGTCATAATAATGTGTCTGTGTGAAATTTTTAGTTTCTGTATTTTAGCCTGTTTTCTTGATTGACATACTTTTTGAAAATTCTTAATAGTGTTTTCATTTTTTCTTCAGGTCTGACTGCTAACAGGTGTTTTTTCAACACCTATCACCAATAAACATGATTTTAAGGATATGAACTGAACTTACGTTAATGAAAAAACATTTTTGTCTATTATATAATACATCAATCGTACAGTCCACTTCCTGATTAAGTGCACACCTTAGCCCTCAAAAAGAAAAGGACATTTTGATCAAGCAACTGGATTTTTCATTTCTGTGGAAAGAGAAGCACTAGTGTTTGCCACAAGCATCATGGCGTTTGCAGTTGATTGCAATGGTCGTGACTCTCCATCTTTGGAGAATGGAGAGAATCTGTTTGGACCAGAAGAGGAAGTTGATATTGATATGGAGGTTGCACCATTGGTATCAAAGGTATGTGTCCACTCAATGTTAGTAGATGAAATTACATGATATTTGGGGCATAAGGAATGTACTATTTATGTCTTTCTTTATGTGATTTTACACTTTGATTTGAAAAAAGGATAACGTGCAGAAAAGATAAAATTTGAATTCCTGCTAAAACGTATGGAAATTGTAAAGCCCCATAAGTAAGAGGTCACCCTAATTGGTTAGATTGTTTAGAAGTATGACCATGATGTAGTTGCTATGTCACCAGGATGTAATACTGATTCATGATTAAAGTTATTGTGGTGATGATAAATCCTATGGTCGTTCAATTGATCCAACACCGGTAGGCAGACAGTAGGTAATTGAGCTGGGTCTCTGACCCATAGCAGGTGATAGTGATAATGCTGTTTTCTTGTTCAGTTTGTTTAGCACTTATTCTAAATGACCGCCTCCGTGGTGTAGTGGTTAGAGTGTCTGCCCCGGAGAGGGAAGGTTGCGGGTGCGATCCCCGATCACGTCATACCAAAAGACGTTAAAATATGGTACTTGTTGGTCCCTGCCTGGGCTAGTACAAGCAGCCGCACATACACACGCATGCACGTCATCATATGAGCGGAATATTCTCAAGCACGACGTTAAACCCTAATTCACCCTATCTTACCATCAGTTAATCATTGTTAATACTTTTCAGCCACTCTAGATATTGAAGTTTAGCTTATAGTGTAAGTTACTGAAATCTTACCATGGTTATGAAATGTGTTTTATTTGCTGTCAATGTCTTAGAGTTTTGAATCAGTTCATTTTCTAAGATACAGACTCACTGTCACCTAAAATGCCCCAAAGATATTTATCAATTTTGGTGTTGATGTCGAACAATGTCTTATCAAAATTTCTTAGTTATGATTAAATAAATTACCTGTTTTCCTTTGTCTCTTCCAAAATCGCTGCTTATGAAAATGATATGACAAACCATTTTTGTAGTCACAAGCACTTGCTATATATATTTTTTAATCAAAATGCGTAGAATGAATTACAGTTGTAATGAACTAAAAGTAATGGTCCCTATCAGTTCAATTCAATCATAGTTTACCGTAAACAAACAAGCAAAGCATAATAATTCCATGTATTAATTATTAATTGTGTTTGAAATTAACACTTGCTTTGTGATAGCCAAGAACAACATTGCAGTAGTATTTCAGTATGTGCTCCAATATAGTAAGACAAGGGCTTTCAAGTCACAAGTGCTGTAGCTATACCAGGGCAAGGGGGTAGCCTAGCGGCTAAGGGGTTTGCTTGTCACGACGAAGTCCTAGGTTCGATTCCCCAAATGGGTACAATGTGTGGAGGCCATTTTTGGTGTCCTCTACCATGATATTGCTAGAATATTGCTATAAGTGACATAAGCCCATACTCACTCACTAACTCTCGCAAAATTAGCTTTGAATTATCTATTATGTTTATCATTTTGATGTAATTATTATTACAATTATAACACAGATCATTAGTGCTGGTTGTCGCTCACAGTATGCAGATTGATAGCTGGAGGTCAGTAATTGATCAATGAACCATTGTAATCGCAGGCCGTAATGGGACATTATCATAACATTGTGCAAACGAAACAGGCACAGATTAATACTATGATGAAGTCAATCGAGAATACTTCCTGTTGAGACACGTATGCAAGTATATTGTTTACATTGCAATTTGCAGTTTTATGAGTCAAGAAACTGTTGACTTGATTAAACAAATGTAACTATAAGAAACATACTTTCAAAAATTATATTTGATTATTTTGTATGAATAACAATAAGTCTCCTGAGCTCATTGAATGATGTAAGCGAGATGAAACGATTGACCTATTTTTCAATCAATCACTCCAGCACTATAGATTGTGCTGATATAAACACTATGCATGATTAATGTATACATGGTATCAGCATGATAAGGCATTAACTTAACGTTAGTTAAACAATAGCTTACATCATAAATACAGTCCACAGTGTCATCACTCCAGCACTATAGATTGTGCTGATATAAACACTAAGCATGATTAATGTATACGTGGTATCAGCATGATAAGGCATTAACTTAACGTTAGTTAAACAATAGCTTACATCATAAATACAGTCCACAGTGTCAACACGCTTTGGCACTGAGCTGTACTAAGAATACTAATTAGTAAATCAGTGTTCACGAATGGTGTTTCAAAGTAACAGGACATTGGGTCCTGTAAGTTTCAGATGTCTGTCTGACCCATTGAAAATTCACAGGACCCATAGAATAAAATTAAACACACATTTCAGATTTAAATTACTAACAAACATAAGATTCATAAACAGCAAACAAGTGTCACATGTGACATGTGACATGTGACATATAACAACTTCAGTCAAAGTCATTGTGAAACATACAGTCAGACACTGGGGCCTGGCGGGTTGTAGACTTCTATCGGACCGTATCTGAATTTGCCCGATTTGTCAGAGGGTCAGACACTATTCGTGAACACTGGTAAATGCAGTTATGCAGAAACTAATTTTGTTGTCATTTTGCAGTATGCAAGGTCCACCCAGACCAATACTTTGCATAAATGTTTCAAAAGTCCTGGCATTCCTAGTTATGGCTCATGAAAGAATTGGGGTCATTGTGTGGTCTCTGTCAAGTTTGTCAGTCACTGCAAAGTCATAACAATTGTTATTTCTAAATTATCTTGAATTGGAAACATTTTTAATTCTGATTCAAGATTGTTTGACATGTACTTAAAACTTGTGACCAGATATCTGCCTCTGGATTAGATGAGAAATGACAAGATTTTATTTTTCTGAGTAAAATTTCATCAATATGGGTAACATCAACACAAGGTATTGATAAACACATGTACAAATATAAATGAACACAAATGTAATTGACATTAAACATGTTAAATGTGGCTTGAACAAATAAAAACTCAACAATTATTATTAACAAAACCCAGGGTTTTACACAGACTTTTAAGAATGGAGTCATGGCGACTCACACTGTTTATTTTGGGGTGTCATTTTCAATATTTGGGAGTCATGAACATTTTAATATTTCTTTATATTAATGATTCTCAGTATGTAACTGTGTATGTCACACCACCAAATGAAACTACAGCATTGTTCAATTCAAACAGCCAGGATTACTGTCTCCTCTGAGTACTCTGGAACAATCTGACAGCTCTGTAAAAGTCAAACTATAATCGAACAATATCTTTTTTGGCTTATCAAATCGATTTTATTGAACTGAATTATGAGGGCCAAGCTTGACTCGTATGATAATATTTTGAGAGTCGTTCACAATTTTTTTGCGTCAAATACACAGGAATCACGCGTCATGTAAAACCCAGAAAATCTGATGCTAGCTGGTATAAATGAGCTCCGGGCCCTGTTTGTTCTCAGCATCAGCAATTATATTAGGTGGTCAGAAGAAAAAAACTTGATACTCTAAATGTAAAACATACACGTTCATATTTTATTTCCTTTAATAACGATTTGCTGCTCATGAATACTGCCAGTGTCCTGAAAAGATGCCAGTATTTTCTGTGTTACGGATGTGAGAGAGTCTGGTTATCATGTTCATGGTGTGAACTAACAGCAGAGCTCCAGATAAGATTTAGCTCATGTGGGTACTGTACCCACTGTATTTTTTTGGAGTGGGTATTATGAATGTTGAGTGGGTATTTCTTTTTCTGTTACCCACTGCTTTCAAATATGTGCGTATTTCAGTCATTTTACTCACCTAAGTATTATGTTATTGAGTAAGTTTACTAAGCAGGTATGTTCTGCCTTATGTCATACCTAATCAAAACCAACTTAAATATAATGGAAATGATTTCATAAATAATCACTCATCCTATACTGAGAGTACAACACGTGTCCTATACTAACAGTACAACTTGATAGCAATCGATGTCTTTTTCATTACGCAAGCGATTTTTTATAAATATATTCCGTATGCATTTGTTTTAAACTTTCTGCGTATCTAACATTTTAAATGCGTAATTGGTACACAACAATTATGTTTCAGTGCGTAATTCTATGCGTATTTTATACGGATACGCAGCTTATCTGGGCCTCTGTAACAGGTTTCGGTGCAAGCTGGTCTAAACACATCCCTGCCATATTTCATTTGATTTGTCAATCACTGAAGTGTGAACCTGTGTTTTTATTAGGCCGGCTTTTGACCCAACATTCACTCACCTACTTTAATGGATGTGTCAAATGGTCAGTTAGGTCCTCAGGGTTAATGCCTTAGGGATGAGATAATGAGACTTCATGTTCATGGTCTTGTTAAGTTGGTCTGTTTTGATTAGTACACCTTGGAAGATATTGGCAGACATAAATAATTTCCTCTGTATACTTAATGCATTTATGACCTGAAAGCCTTATGACTTGTGAAACAGCTTTAATAGCACATACCAGGCAAACTGGTCAGAACTGTAAGTTTGTTTAACAGAGAAATCAGAAAGTGGAGGACCCCATTTTATTAGTTTTTTATTTGAAGTTTATGGCTTGGTAGAATTCGATATTCATGACTTTCATTCATGGTTCATTCAGATTGTTTCTAGGCTTGTCAGCTCCATACCCGTGTAGATTTGATCAAAGTGGTTCAGGTCTTAGCTTGGCATCAAGTTCAAGCTTTCCACCCACTAGACTAACGTTTAGTTACATTATTTCATTTTAAAATAGATATCCACAAAATTAGAAAATAAACTTCAAATACCCAATACTTGTCAAATCAATCTAGATCTAAAATATCTCAGTTGGACACTTTTTTAATTAATATTTTTTGGGGAGACAGGCTTTCCTCAAACATCAAACTGACACACTAAGATATAAGCAAAATGCCATTCAAATTTACTTGCATTAAGTATGTTAAACCCAACTTACTCCCACTCTAAATAAAACTTTTTGTTGTCTAGAATGCCCTTGTGAGTCCTACCAATGAAGAGTACGAGTCCCTTCTGGAAGAGATCAAATCTCGTGCAGAGGATGGACAGGGAGAGACGATATTTGAGATTGGAACTGGAGGTATGTAAAACATGTAGTCATGCTAATTTCATGCTAATTTTACCTCCCAGAATGCATATCTTCTGAAATGTTTCATTATATGTCTGAGCATGCTGAGAAGTAAAACACAATCATGTAGAACCCACAGGCCCTCGTGTCTTTGTGAGGATTAGAGATTTTATAAAATATATACAAAAATTTGAGATGACCCCCGATTCGAAATGCTTCACAGTATAATACATTATGACAAGGCTGGACACTTCTGTGTACCCCACCCGACTGCTTTGCCTATTGCTACGCTACCATCGCATGCAATCGATTAAAACTTAATGTAAACATAATCATGGATGATTGGCCTATCGAGCACCACTCATGGCACCTACCAATTCTTTATTGTTATTTCTGCAAGTCGATTGAAACCCGATTTTGACCCTCAACTAAAAAATCGATCTTGACACAAATGGCTGAGAATTCATATATCCGCAGATTTAGCAGCAAAGCGGAGGTGCTTGCTTCGACCACACCCCGCTTTGAAGCAAGCCACACAAGTGTCCGGCCTTGTCATAATGTATTATACTGTGAAGCATTTCAAGCAATCATCCAAGGGTAATCTCAAATTTTAATATATATTTGATGGTGCATCAGGTGGTAGCGTAAAAACAGTCTCTCATCCTCGTATTATAAAAGACACGTCGGGGGCCTCAAAATTTTGTGGTAGAACCAGCAGTTTAAGTCATGTGAAACATCACCTGAAGCTATGGAACTGTAATATCTAAGCTTTATTTACAGAGGGAGAAAAGCCTGGGTTGAATGACCCTGATTTCCTGGCATCTGTAGCCACACTGAAGAGCATTGCTGAGTCACTACAGATGGAAATTGTACCACTAAGGGAGAGAACTGCTGCAGAGGGGAAAACAGCTGAATTCCTTCTCAGACGAAGATTAGACTCTGAGGATTTTATGGAAGTCAGGTGAGTTTATAATTGATGTTTCAGATGAAGATTAGGATGTTCAATTCCCAATGACTACAATATGTGGAGCCCATTTCTGGTGTCCCCACCATGACATTGTGGGAATGTTGCTAAAAGTGACCTAAATTCATGCTCACACTCACTCACTTTCAGAGTGGCGGTTGTGGGGAATGTAGACGCCGGGAAGAGTACCCTTCTGGGTGTGTTGACTCACGGGGAGCTGGACAATGGTAGGGGCGTGGCCAGACAGAAGCTATTCCGACACAAGCATGAGATGGAGTCCGGCAGAACCAGCAGCGTTGGCAACGACATTCTGGGCTTCGACACAACAGGAAATGTTGTCAACAAACCCGACCATGGGCATCTGACTGGATCAAAATATGTGAAGAAGCAGCTAAAGTATGTACACTGTATAAATGATAGATGTGATATTGTAATGGGATCTCTGTTCAAGTACACCAAAGGGTGTTTGTCTAAAAATAAATGAAAATTTACAGTGGTATATAAAGATGAAAAAGAACAGCTGTCAGTACACCTTCAAAGTATGTATCTTTTTGAAAATAACTGCTTCAATACTAATTAAAATGAGTAGAAATCGTTTCAATATGTGTCAGACTGAAAATCAAAGTCCCTGTTTCTCTTAAGTAAACTTCACAATATCGACCATTGGTTCTGGTTCAGACTTAATTGTTTACAGGCTGCCATCATATGTCTTGAATATTGCTGTGATAGGCATTAAACTACAAAGAAACAATCACTTCTGCTGATTGGTTGATATTTCACCCAAATTTCTTTTCAGGTTATCACCTTCATAGATCTTGCTGGACACGAGAAGTACCTGAAGACAACAGTGTTCGGGATGACTGGACATGCCCCAGACTTTGCCATGTTGATGGTAGGCACTGGCAGTTCATTTTACAGAAGTAACAAATGTGTGTTTATATTCCACTGTTGTGTCAGAAGCTGGTTGCTGCTGATCCCAATCCATGCAGATTCTGACTCACTCATTTAGGGTTAGAACTGATCTTCAGCAACCCATGCTTGTCGTAAAAGGTGACTGAAGGTTACTTACAGGATCGGGTGGTCAGGCTTGCTGACTTGGTTGACACATGTCATCATATCCCAATTGCATAGATTGATACTCATGCTGTTGATCACTGGATTGTTTGGTCCAGACTCGATTATTTACAGACCACCACCATATAGCTGGAATATTGCTGACTGCAATACTCACACAAACTCACCCACTCGACTTATATTACAGGAATATTGCTCAGTGCAGCATTAAACAAGAAACAATCATTTAAACTAGATGAACCATTTGAACCATATATTTACGTTAACCACATGTCTATCATATTTACAGGTCGGCTCCAATGCCGGAGTGATCGGCATGACAAAGGAGCACTTAGGTCTGGCTCTTGCTCTTAACGTCCCTGTGTTTGTTGTGGTCACTAAGATCGACATGTGTCCTCCCAACGTGTTACAAGACACACTCAAGTTGTTACAGAGGATACTGAAATCACCAGGCTGTCGGAAAATACCTGTACTTGTTCAAAACAAAGATGATGTAGTTTGTTCAGCAACCAACTTCACATCAGAAAGGTACGTCACTTGTGTACTAAGCCTTACTAAGTCAAGTGTACTATTGTTACAACAATCAGTTTGGTCTAAGGCCCGCCTTCATTCACCCACCAGAGGCCTGAAATATTGCTACATGCAGCATTAAACAAGCAAAGAAATTATTGAAAAGCCATGAAGAGCCCTGACTGATGGAGGCAAAGATGGCCCAGTCATCTAGAGCACAGCCATTCATTATGCAGAGTTGAATTCCTCCAACATGCTTGTGGGTGGGAGTCCCTGATCAACCTAATAATGTTTCTTAGTTTGTTAGCTCCATGATAAAGCTTATGCGTTTCACCATAGTGGTATATGTCTGAGGCTGACATGCTGTGGCATAATTGGGATACTATTTAAAATGTCATTGAGACAAACTCAATCACAAGGGTTTCAGATTACTTTGGACAAACTGTTCTATTTCTCATGCAGAATGAGTCATACTTCCGGATCAGGTAGTTAGGTTTGCTGACTCAGTTGATCCAAATTGCAAAGATCAGTCCTTATGTCAATCACCTAATTGATTGATTCAGACTCAACTATTTACAGTTGTATGTAATGTACCGGGAATATTGCTGAGAGAGCCATGAAAAACAAGTAAGCCTGGCAATATAAAAAATGAGTCACTGTTGCAAAATCATAGGCGGATCCAGACAAGGGGTGCGCACCTCTTCCCCCCCCCCCTCCTGAAATGTTATTAAATGACCATTAAAACTGTAATGAAAACACACGCCCCATCCTTTCTGAACTGTGCACCCCTCCTGTATCCGCCCCTGACTAGGAAAGCACAATGCCTTTCAGAAAGTGGTCAAATGTAGGATATGTGATATTTATGGCCCAAAGTCAATGAAGTAAAGTACTAAATCTGTACTACAAATGTATCATATGCTTCACTATTACCCTGCATATTGGCATTGTGTTTATAGGAGGCTAAACAACAAAGTGTTTTTTGTAAATAGTCTCGTCTCGTCGATCACGAGAGTATGCGTGATCTCGTTGATCACGAGAATATACGAGAAGAGGCCATTTTGGATGTTTCGGGTCAGTGCGCCGTGGAAGTGTTACCACGTGCGAGAATGGGAAATAAAGAAGAAGAATTTTAGCTACGAGCATTGTGTTATCTATCAATGGTAGCAGGCGTGTGGAGAAATATGGCACAGAAATTGTTGTTACCGCCCTCGCTGGACCAGGATAGTATCTATGATACATGGAAAAATGAAATAGAGGTTTGGCGGCGATTCCATTCACGGAGCTACGGATGAAAAGAAGGGACTGGCGCTAGTTCAAGTGCTGAAAGGTACGGCAAAGAGACTATCTTACAAATCCCAGTTGATGAATTAAATGAGAAGGATGGATTGGACAAATGTCTGAGAGAGTTGGATAAGTTGTACCTAATAGACAGTGTAGATCGCGCAGTATATAGCTTTCTCAAATTTTTAGTCTCACAAGGAAAACTGAGTCTATGAGTGATTTCATCAATATCTATGAAAGAAAGTACCAAAAGTGTGTCAAATCTGACATGCAGTTACCAGATGCAGTTCTAGCATTCAAACTTTTGGATAGTGTCAATCTGAATCAAAAGGATAAACAGCTAGTTTTGGCGGCCACAGTAGATAAAAGATTTCAAACAATGAAATCATCCTTGAGAGCGAATTTTTGGAGCGAAATTATGGAATCCACAGAAATAAAACAAGAAAGTATATTTTGGACAAATCATGACAGAAATTATAAAGAAGCGTCCCAGATTTTTCAATAAGCAACAGAAACCAGGGTCTGAGCAAAAGTTCTATAGCCAAAGAGGAACAAACCCATTTGACAAATTTGGAAGGAGGACCAGATGTTCACACTGTTTCTCTACATTCCACTGGGTTAGAGATTGTCCAGATAAGGATAAAGAGAATGTGAACTACACTGAATCAGAGGAAAACATAGCACTGATCACAAGAGATGATAGTGTCTTGATGGTTGAAGCACAGGGTTGTCGCGTTTATTGACACTGCATGTACAAGATCAGTTTGTGGTAAGAACTGGTATGAGCATTATGTTAACTCCTTGAATGAGGATAAAGAAAACTGTGGTTCAAGAGAAAGAATCTACTAAAAGCTTCAAGTTTGGAGATGGACAGAGGCATATATCATCATGCACAGCTGTAATACCAGCAGTGATTGGGACAACTGAGTGTCAGATTGAAACAGAGATTGTGGATGCCAACATTCCATTATTGCTTGGAAAGCCAGCCCTTAAGAAAGCTAAGGCCATTATTGACATGGACAATGATAAAGCTATAATGTTTGGAGAAGCAGTCAATTTAGAAATGACATCAGTGGGACATTACTGTGTTGCCTTGACAGGGAATATAGAGCATGAGTCTGAAGAGGTGATGTGGTTGAAGGATGGTGCTTCTGAAAAGGAGATTTTTACAATTGTACAAAAGTTGCATAAACAATTTGGTCATGCTTAGGTCAAAATCTACAGAAGCTAATACAGCGGTCAGGAAACAGTACTGAAGTGAAAACTGAAATTATTGAGAAGATAGTGGCCAGTTGTGATGTATGTAACAAACATAAAAGACACCGGCAAAGCCAGTTGCTGGACTTCCCATGGCATCAGACTTTAATGAAGTGGTTGCAATGGACCTTCATCAACTTGACCAAAACATGTGGTATATTCACATGATAGACATGTTTACAAGATTCAGTGCAGCAGCAATAATCAAGAATAAGACTGCAAGCGATTGTGGATAAATTTCTACAACACTGGATTGCCATTCATGGAGCACCTATGAAGATACTTACAGATAATGGGCGAGAGTTCAACAATCAACAGATGCATGATTTATGTCAGAACTTCAATGTGGAAGTGCTTACAACACCTGCTTACAGTCCATGGTCAAATGGAATAGTTGAGAGACACAATCAAACATTGACACTTACACTGAACAAGATAAAAAAGCAAGAAAATTGTAACTGGGAAATAGCATTGAGCTGGGCATTATCAGCAAAGAATGCTCTATGCAACATTCATGGCTTCAGTGCATATCAACTTGTCTATGGTAGGAATCCAAACCTTCCATCAAACTTGACCAATAATCCCCCAGCATTGGAAGGAATAACATCCAGTACAATTGTTGGGAATCATATCCAGTATTGCATTCTGCTAAGAAAGCTTTCACTGAAGCAGAGTGTGGCGATAGGATAAGGAGAGCCCTGAAAGCAAAAGTGAGGCCCATGGAGGGAATATACAGCATGGGAGAGAAAGTATACTACAAGTTCCCAGGTAAAGAAGAATGGAGGGGACCAGCCAGAGTTATTGGTCAAGAGGCGAGTTGTGGTTTTTCTCCGACAAGGTGGGATGGTGATCAGAGTTCACAGGAATAGAATGAGAAAAAATCAATGAAGTTGAGACTCTTGACATTAAAAAGGGGAGGAAGAGAAAATGAAAGAAAATGTGCCAGAAAGATGTGATGAAAAGAAGTTTGTTGTGATGATAAGGAACAGTCAAGTTGGGAAGAAATTGACCTTGGTGATCTCGAGACAATGAAAGATCAGAGAGAAACAAAACAGGGTGTAAGTAAAGACCAAACTGAACTTTAGTGTGGGAGCGTCCATCAGCTACAAGAATGATGAAACAAGGGAAGTCATGACAGCTAAAATTATCAACAAGGCTGGGAAAGCCACAGGAAAGAATAGATTTTGGTTTAATGTTGAGTATACTGATCCAAAACAATATTTAGGTGTTCAGCAATCTCTAGATCTTAGTAGAGTCACAGACTTGAAGGTGAATGATGAAATACAAGAACAGAATTCAGAAGATGAAATTGATGATTCTGTCATGATGTTAGAAGATGTTTCTTGGATGGAAGCAAAAAGAGGCAGAGTTAGACAGTTGGAAAAGAAATCAAGTATATGAAACAGTTGAAGATACTGGACAGAAATGTGTGTCACCACAGAGATGGGTATTGACAGTTAAAGAAAGTGAGAATGGAATCAAACTGAAAGCTAGACTGGTAGCAAGGGGTTTTGAAGATGGAGCTTCAAAGGTAGTGCAGTCAGATTCACCAACATGTGCTGGAGAAGCCTTGAAAATGATACTTGCTGTGATGGTCAACAAGCAGTGGACACCTCATGCTATGGATATCAAGACTGCCTTCCTACATGGGGCAATCATAGACAGGGATGTGTTTGTTAGACCTCCGAAAGAAGTAAACATGAGAGGAAAGGTCTGGAAACTCAACAAGTGTGTATATGGTTTAAATGATGCTTCACTGCAGTGGTATTTCCGTGTGAGAGAGAGTGATGAAGGAACTTGGTGCAGTCGTGTCAAAGGTTGACCCAGCAGTGTTCATATGGTGCAGTGATGGAATTGAAGGTGTGCTTGCATCACATGTTGATGACTTCATATGGGGTGGAAACAACAGATTCGTTGAAGTTATACAGCAAATGAGAGCAATTCTTGATGTTGGGAAGGAGGAGATAAAAGCTTTCAGATATCTAGGAATGCATCTTGAGTCAGATGAGGATCAAGTCTTGCTACAACAGAGTGGATACAGTGACAAACTTGCCTTTATCAATATTGACAAGGCTAGAGCAACTGACAAGCAACAACCAGTCTCAGAAGAAGAAAAGAAAGGTAATGAGGTCTCGGTTAGGGCAAATACTCTGGTTGGCTCATCATACTTTCGTCCAGATATTTTGTTCGAAACAAGTCGGTTATCAAGTTGTATAAAATCTGCAGTTGTGGCCAATCTCCTTGAAGTGAACAAGGTCATAAAACAGATTAAGAGTGAGAATGTTGTTCTGAGATATAGGAAGCTAGATGGAAAACTGAAACTGCTGACATACTCTGATGCCTCCTTAGGAAATCTACAAAATGGAGGGAGTCAGGGATCATATGTGATCTTCTTGATGAATGAACAAGGAAAGGTGTAAGCCAGTATGCTGGAGTTCAAAGAAACTGAAGCGAGTTGTGCGCAGTACTCTTGCAGCAGAGACATTAGCAATGGCAGATGCAATTGATACAGCAATATATATGTCAACATTGTACGCTGAAATTGTTTCCGGAAAAGGTGAGCAATCAGAAATGTTGTCGATTCTGTGTTTGACAGACTGTATGTCAGTATGGGAAGCTGTTCATTCCAATACATCTGTGACCGAGAAGAGGTTAAGAGTGGAGATAGCTGGCATCAAGGAACTTCAAGATGAGGGGATGGTTCAGATTAAATGGGTGAACCAATCTGAACAGTTGGCTGACTGCATGACAAAGAAAGGAGCTTCACCAGTGCGGCTTTTGCAAGCTCTACAAGAAAGCTATATTAATATAGTGCATAAGGCTGTGAAGAAACTGAAAGTGAAGAGACTACAGTGTTGTGATATAGTGACTGTAAAATAACAATATATATCACTGAAGAGAATCTTGTCATGGTAAAAGACAGATGTAATGAGAACTGTGACTGTGGATGTCTATACCAAGATGAGGACTTTTATAATGTGTATTTTAAAACAAAACAAAATGACAAAAATGTGTTTTGAGCAGTTTTAATATATTTCAAATTTTTATATAAAAAAAAAATAGTTGAGATTGTAAATAGTCTCGTCTCGTCGATCACGAGAGTATGCGTGATCTTGTTGATCACGAGAATATACGAGAAGAGGCCATTTTGGATGTTTCGGGTCAGTGCGCCGTGGAAGTGTTACCACGTGCGAGAATGGGAAATAAAGAAGAAGAATTTTAGCTACGAGCATTGTGTTATCTATCATTTTTAACATGTATAGACCTATGATTAACTGATGATTCCACTATTCATTGTGTTCATGATCCATATTATATTTTGCTTTATCTTTCCTTCAGGATGTGCCCAATCTTCCAAGTATCCAATGTCACAGGGGAAAATCTAGATTTGTTAAAAATGTTCCTCAACTTGTTATCAACACGAGTGAAATGCGACATGCAGAAGCCAGCTGAGTTCCAGATAGACGACACATTCTCAGTTCCTGTAAGTAGCTCATGGGGAAATAGCTTGTTTATTAAAGGATGAAAATTATGCTGGATACTGACAGCAAAACAACATCAGGTTCCATGAAGCAGGGGCTGACTTGGTTGACGCATGTCATCGGTTCCCAATTGTGCAGATTGATGCTCATGCTGTTGATCACTGGATTGTCTGGTCCAGACTCAATTATTTACAGACCGCCGCCATATAGCTGGAATATTGCTGAGTGCGGCGTAAAACTAAACTCACTTACTCACTTACTCAATCAATCAATCAATCAATCAATCACTCTATGAATTTGGTTGCAGGGTGTAGGGACAGTGGTTTCAGGGACGTTACTCCAAGGCTACATCAGACTGAACGACACGTTACTCCTGGGGCCTGATGCCCTGGGGCAGTTCATGCCTATTGTTGTCAAGAGTATACACAGGAAGAGGATGCCGGTGAAGGAGGTCAGGGGAGGGCAAACTGCATCATTTGCACTCAAAAAGGTGAGGAAACGTTCCGTGTTTGGTTTCATTGGATTTATTTCTTTAAAGCCACATCAATCATTGTACATATATGTCTGACAGCAACCTCTGGCAACAGCATCCGTAATCCAAGTCAAAACAAAACAAACCAGTGATCGATGTTATGAGCATGTTTCATTTTTTGTTTCAATTTCTTTATAGTCATACTCAACAATGTTTGATAAGTGATAGCAACCTATGATCCAGTGATTGATACTATGAACAACAATCTATGTTATATGGGAATCAACCAAGTGACTGTGTCTAGCCATCTTTCAATCGCCTTTTGAGACCAGAATAAATTGCAGGGGATTGGTTATAGGGACTCAGTTTAGAAATTCAGTTAATCATTGTTTGAATTGAACTAATGCACTGTCAATTCACATTGTGAGTGTAAATAGCGTTTTTTAAGTGTTCTGGTATCAAGCTATGGGTAAACTCTGGATTACTACACAGGTAGTTTACAGGGAAACAGGGAGTATTGGAAATGAGGGCTTATCAAGCTATGGGTAAAATCTCAACATTACTACACAGGTAGTTTACAGGGAAACAGGAGTATTCTCAAATGAGGGCTTATCAAGCTATGGGTAAGACTCCATTACTACACAGGTAGTTTACAGGGAAACAGGGAGTATTGGAAATGAGGGCTTATCAAGCTATGGGTAAGCTCCTATTGTGATTACTACACAGGTAGTTTACAGGGAAACAGGGAGTATTGGAAATGAGGGCTTATCAAGCTATGGGTAAGCTCATTTACTACACAGGTAGTTTACAGGGAAACAGGGAGTATTGGAAATGAGGGCTTATCAAGCTATGGGTAAGCTCCGCATTACTACACAGGTAGTTTACAGGGAAACAGGGAGTATTGGAAATGAGGGCTTATCAAGCTATGGGTAAGCTCCGCATTACTACACAGGTAGTTTACAGGGAAACAGGGAGTATTGGAAATGAGGGCTTATCAAGCTATGGGTAAGCTCCGCATTACTACACAGGTAGTTTACAGGGAAACAGGGAGTATTGGAAATGAGGGCTTATCAAGCTATGGGTAAGTTTCAGGGAAACAGGGAGTATTGGAAATGAGGGCTTATTACTACACACAGGTAGTTTACAGGGAAACAGGGAGTATTGGAAATGAGGGCTTATCAAGCTATGGGTAAGCTCCATTACTACACAGGTAGTTTACAGGGAAACAGGGAGTATTGGAAATGAGGGCTTATCAAGCTATGGGTAAGCTCCATATTACTACACAGGTAGTTTACAGGGAAACAGGGAGTATTGGAAATGAGGGCTTATCAAGCTATGGGTAAGCTCTGCATTACTACACAGGTAGTTTACAGGGGTAAACAGGGAGTATTGGAAATGAGGGCTTATCAAGCTATGGGTAAACTCAACTACACAGGGTAAGGGAAACAGGGGAGTATTGGAAATGAGGGCTTATCGCCAAGCTATGGGTAAGCTCTGCATTACTACACAGGTAGTTTACTTACTACAGGGCTTTACAGGTAAGTTACACAGGTACAGGGAAACAGGGAGTATTGGAAATGAGGGCTTATCAAGCTATGGGTAAGCTCTGCATTACTACACAGGTAGTTTACAGGGGGAAACAGGGAGTATTGGAAATGAGGGCTTATCAAGCTATGGGTAAGCTCATGTTTATTACTACACAGGTAGTTTACAGGGAAACAGGGAGTATTGGAAATGAGGGCTTATCAAGCTATGGGTAAGCCTCCCTTGGATGGGCCATTACTACACAGGTAGTTTACAGGGAAACAGGGAGTGATTGGAAATACTAGGGCCACGCCAGCGCCGTCGCACAGAACACGCGGCAGCAGAGAGCAACCAAAAAGGCGCAAGAGAACAAGCACCAGATTAATCCTCAGAACGAGCCTCAGAAACCTAGCAAACGGAACCGAAGATCAAGACATCGGCATGACGATCACCATGACGAAGGGAAGGAGAACGCAGAACATGGGAGTCCAAGTGTGAACGCTAGTGTAGGGAACGCCACCTCGGCAGCAAGCACATCCAAAGCACCATGAACAGTTGACACAATCGGTGATGGTTGTATTTTATAATTTGAAACACATTGAGCTGTTATGACATCAGTTGTGCATCTGCTGATCACATTAATGAATTAAACTATAGAATCTACGTGTACAGATGAGAAGTATTTATACATTGTGTGGAATATCCTTGAAATTCCTGTTTTTTAATTGTTTATGGTAACTAATAAGAAAAACAAAACAAGACGTGTTAGGGCAAAACAGCGTCCCTGTGTGGCAGCAATACTAATAATTATAATCTGTTTTATCTATATTTGTCCTGTTTGTTTCCTTTACAAGTCTTTAGTTTCTTTACACTTCACTAATATGTCTTCTGTTCACCTCCCTTGCTTAATTGTTATAGTGGTATTGCCAGCAGAATAGGATGCCTGTACCCCTTCATCATTAAAGAAGACCAGATGATAAGTAGGAAGTAACCCTTGCCTTTATTACAAAATGACATATACAGTGAGACCCTGGATACCCAGACCCCAAGTATCCGGAAACCTCGCCTTCAGGTCGATTTTCATAAAAACAAAAAATCTCCGACGTTATAAAAGTGACCGTCTATAACGGATATGCGGTTTCCGTTTGCGGACGGTAAATTTTACAAACCAACCACCTAAATCAACACAAACCTGGACTCACTTATCCGCTCGAAGCTTTGATCTTCCGCTGACCGTGTGAAGTGAAGCGCGAATGTCCCACGTGTCTTGACACGAGACAAGTTCTGCTAATCCAGATTAATGACCAATCAGCAGGGTATTGGTGGTGATTCGTAGACACAGAGTGACACAGAGTGTAATTGGCAAATCAAAACGACCACGCTGTTTTAAATGTGATTTTAAACCAGAAGTGTATGCTCGCTACCGTTTCAACACCAAAACCTGGATGACAGAAATCCAGATATCCGGATATTCAGTTATCCAGACGATTTACGCAAAAATGAAAGTGTCTGGATATCCTGGGGCTCACTGTACAATGGTCCCAACCACCTGTGGTATAGTTTAGTCAAAATGCATTAACAAACTATTGTTATGAAAAACTCAAATTAATGGTCCCTTTGAATTTGTTATAACTGTTGATTGCATATATTTTCTTCTCCAGATTACAGAGTCAGTGGTTGAATTAAATTTTTTGGAACACTGGGTCTTATTTAAACAATTTGTAAGGAGTAAGAAAATGTTGGATTGTTATCAGCAAAAGTAAAGGGGTTTCCCAGATTCTACTTTGAAGTAAGTTTGGCATTACAGATATTAGCTCACAAATCAGTGGAAAGATATACATGCAGATTTTGAATCCAGTTTTGTGAAACTTTTTGGATATCTACTAACAAAAATATGAAACACACCTGCCTTAAATGGTCTCTCCAGCAAGCTAGGTGGGTATGGTGTGTGATAGCTCTCGTATAACCTTGACAAAATGGTGGACTGACCTCCCCTTGGCTGCTTGTTTCCATGATCCTATAATCCAGGGTTGGTATTCCAGATTCACACTGATTCTGATATTTGTTTTTCTTATTGCCATAGCAATGCTTTGGATTCTCCAAAATGGTAAACACCTACAGACTGTATGTTATCAGGCATGTCTCTCACTGAAAATGACACTGGTTTAACTGTAATACTGTTTTTGCTGCAGAAAACCACAGTTCACTCTCTCTAAATAGAATGGGGGGCGGTGGGGTAGCCTAGTGGTTAAACTGTTGGCTCGTCACGCCGAAGACCCGGGTTCGAATCCCCACATGGGCACAATGTGTGACTCCCATTTCTGGTGTTCCCCGCCGTGATGTTGCTGGAATATTGCTAAAAACGGCATGAAACCAAACTCAGTCAGTCAGTCAGTCTAAATAGAATGGGATGAGCATTAGGGATCAAATTCCACATTGCACTTTTCAATAAGATATGGACATTTATTATGTTAATTTGTTTAGTACAGTTAGGTGGGAAACTCAAGGGTGATGAAATTTGTTTTGTAGTTTTATAGATTACAAACTTGAATCATGTTAATGTTGAGTCAGTTGAAACACAGTGACATCAAGATTTTCTGGTCAGATGACCAGCCTGTGTTTGATTGAAGTAACAGATACACAATTATTAATTAACAGGAATATTGCAAAATTACTGTTAGTGATTCTGGGACATCTAAGTGGTTCTGGATTGTTGAGTATAACAATAAATCGCTGTGGTTTACAACATATTTCACATGTTCTGACTTTATTTTCTTACTGAATGATGGATCCTGTGAAACATTTTTCAGTCTTTATTTGTACTTGGTATATGAAATTCAATATACCGGTAAATGTCTGTTGAGCAACTTATGTGAATAACGATCATTGTCAAAGGCCAATTCACACTCAGCACCTGCCCTTTACAAACAAACATCATTTTATTTTATAATTTTGGACTCCTTTTACAATAAAATGTTTTTTAAAATCCAGAAAAGTACTTATGTACTGAAAAAAGTACACTTGAAAATGTGTTCCCTACCTCACTGAAGTTAAAAAAAACATGATATCATTATTATGTTTTTGACCTCCAGTGACAATATAAATGTAACATGTTTAAGTTTCAGTGCACACATGTATTTTTCTGGATTTTTAAAACTTGTGTACTGAAACTTAAACATGTTAAATTAAAATTAAAAATGTGTACTCCTCCCAATGAAGTAAACAATTCAAAACAATTCAATGTATAGATTTCAACAAAGTTTTACTGATCTGTTTAGCATGTACTGGCATCTCCATCACTGGCAACTAGTCTGCTTGTAATCTGTGTGCATTTTGTAAATCTCACCCCTACTTAGACAATCTTTAAACATTTTTTTAGGTTTTAAATGTGTGAAAACTTTATCTGATAATTTGGAGATCATTTACATTCATACAGTCATTTTCATTACGTAACAATATGCAAATTAGAAGTTTTGCTGTGAAGTTTTGTCGTGCATGTGTTACAAGAGTTAGAAAAAAAATAAGAGGCAAAAGTATATTTTCAAGACCCTCGTTACTTCTCTGTCACATGGCTTCTTCCTATACCTTGGTCAGTGTGCGAAATAGTTTCTAACTTTTGCTAGCTAGTCAGGCTAGCTATGCCTTAAAGTTACTAGCCCACAAAATAATTCACTAGCCCCAAATTTGAATGTAGAAACTAAGCAAAAGAGTACAAAAATAGATGAGAATAAGATATTGTCGGCATGACACAGATTTCATCATTCAGGTCATAATCTTGCGTGATTTAAAAGTGTATTATAACTTAACAAGTCGGAGAGAGAGATATATTTACAAAGTGACCCCATGAAAATTCACTATCCAGTCAGGCCAGTGACTGTGGAGTTTTACTGGCCAGACTGGATATTTGCTAGCCACAAGCTAATCGACCAGTGGCTATTTCGCACACTGTTGGTACTATGATGTAAGAGATTTTACTGGGAATGGATCAGCTTCAAGTTTGACAAGACAGTTTTGTTTATGTTAAAACAGAGGATCATATATGTAAATTCTAATTTAAATGAATTTAAGCATTTCAGTTAAATGGATTGGACCAGTTGAACTTTATTGATCAGTTTTAGCTAGGTGCTGATGGGATATTAAAACAATTTGAAAAATAAGAGATGTCTACAGAATTTATCACAAAAACATATGGATATTTGTGTTCAAATGTGTAATGCATAACAGATGTTTAGAATAATTAGGCATATGTTACCATAGTGACTTGGGCAGACATAAAGGGTACTGGTCTGTTCTGATTGGCTCCTAGTAAAAGAAGGGTGTTTGAGGATGTCCACAGAGAGAAGGTAGCCTAAGTTAAAGTATGGCAGTAACCATGGTGGTAGCATGACAACTGCGTACAGAATAGGCCCATCTGTTAGTGAATGTCATTAATATCTGTTCTTGATCATCGTCAGAACATCACAGGTTTGAATACACTTTTCTCCCTCTGTGAACTAGAGATGTAACATCACAATGGTGTAGTGATGCAATACTTCTGTTTCATAAGAAAATATTATTATTCTTTACAAGTGAATCACAACCCGGATTTATTTGTTTTTGAAATTTCTCAGATTGAGGATTAATTATTGTAGGGCAAAAACATAGGACACTGTAAAAGTTATATTTTTCCTTATCCTGACTCATGTATTATTGCTTGTCTCCTTCCCTTCCCGAACGTTAGTGGAACACTTGTATCTCCTTTTTGAAGCTCCCTTTCCAAAAAGCAGACATAAAATCACCACTCACCATGAGTTATGTCCCTCTGGTTTTGGCGGGAAAACAGCGCCACCTGTCTTCCCACGCTTCACTCTCTCCGAATAGCTCAGAAAATTACATGCTTTTCATAGCCAAGCCAGAACACAAGAGAATGTGCAGAAGCTGATTATTGTACAGTTTCTTATTATTAACTATACTTGTAAATCATGTTTTACAATACAGAAACTGTAAATTCATGTATCAGGGGTTTTGCGTTGCAATACAGTACTGTATCAGTGTGTTGTTACATCGCTACCATGAACAGATTACTGATTTGCAATGTCTACTATATTTAACAAACAAATCCAGGGGCGTAGCTACCACTATTCAATATGCCAGGGCTTACACATGATTGTTGCTGTAAAGGTTGGACAGGCCCTCAATACTACCTAAATACAGATGTATAAAGCTTTGCAACCTATTGGGCTTACACGAAAGAATTAGCTTGCTACGTGCCGGACATCAAGCTGAGGCCTTCTTCCAGCAGGGTCTGACTCAAATGACTTTAGAGATTGCATCACAGAAGCGGTAATATTTAGTTAGGGCAGCATGCCAGACCCATCTTCACACTGCTGCAATTCCCAGCACACGAACATCTTCATCACATTAGCCTGTCAGACGTATGTATTCACAAGCGATGGAGGAACTGAGTTTATACAAACTTGTGATGTATTGACGATGTTGTATTATAAGCTTGGCTATGACAACTTGCATATATTTAAGTATGTTCTAATCTAGGATAAATTGCTCAGCTATGTGTCGGCAGATTGCATATCAGCTTGTGTGAAAAGCTAAACATGTCCATTGTTCATGCATTAAACGTGTTTAACAAATAAACCCGTACTCACTTTCACTTGTTGACATTGTTTATAGTGTTTTTGATACAGGACGGGTTGACAGGTCAGAGATATTCGATGGTTTTGTATACATGGGACCCAGTTTTTTAATGTGCTACAAGTCGCTGTGCAGAGTTGTATCCTTTTGGCATACCAGGAGCTGGTGATCGATTATATTTTTATATTTGCCTTGATTATGATTCTTGTCAACATCATTCCCATGCTTATGAGTTTCACCAGAAAGCTTAATAACTGCATCGCTATGAACTGACCCAAAGTGACAGGACTCAAATAGTGTTCCTAAGCGAACTATTCTTATAACTTCATGGATCAGGTGGCCAGACACAGCGACTTGCTTGACTGCATGACATCGTACCAAGATGATTTGTATCATCGCTCACAATGCTAATGTCAGTATTGTCTGGTATCTTCCTGAGAGTCCACTGTGGCATTAACACAGCACACAAACCAACCCACATCCAGCTCACTGTGATCAATTGAAATACAGGGGGCAAGAATGAACACATCATCTAAGGTACAACTGTTCACCAAACACAGTTGCTAGAAAACTGATCACATTTGATTTAGTTTATAAACAAGAAGACAAAGTCATCAATATCCCCCGCAATGGCAAAATACTCTTCATGATTATGTCTACGAGTTATGATTATGTCAAATATTTAGGTGTGTATATAGAAAAGTGGAAGGAGAGTATTGAAAGGTTTTTAAAGTTCTGCTCCAGAAAGGAGCACTATCACCAATTTCAGGCTAAGTCAAACTTGTTGCCATGGAAACGCCAAAAATATTTTATTCAGAATTCCAAAACTACCAAAAGGCACAAGTACACTACCAGATCTATCTATGTGCCAAGTTTGGTGAAGAAATAGTGAACAGTTTTAGAGTTCAGCTCTGGAAAAGAGCACAACCACCAATTTCAGGCTTAGTCGAACTTGTTGCCATGGAAACGCCAAAAATATTTTATTCAGAAATCCAAAACTACCAAAAAGGCACCAGTACACCACCAGATCTATCTATGTGCCGAGTTTGGTGAAGAAACATTGAAGGGTTCTAGAGTTATGCTCCAGAAAAGACAAATGTGCACGGACGGACGCACGCACAGAGTCCATTTTAATACCCCCCGCAAAACGCTTTGCCGGGGATAATTAGCCTGCACAAAACCAGGTTCCTGGGTTTCTATAGAAGTCAAAAGTGCTCTAAACCAACAACACTCAATTGAAATCTGTTATCACCAAACTCTTTTCACTCAGTCACACACTACAGCCATGGTCAAAATATTTGATCTATCTACATGGTGAAATAAATCCCTATAAACAACAAATAATTATCAAGTGTAAGCTGTTTATTTAACAGAAATGAACACCCACACAATAAAGACTATAACAAGTAGATGTTAAGGACCAAGATCAACTTTGGCACAGGAAGAAAAAACAAACTATTTTAAGATATATTCAAAAGGAACTTCGACAAAGACAACTCCTGAATAAAGGTTCCCTGCTACTATTGTTTCACTAATACTGTTATATACCTATAGAATAGAAACAGATGCAATTATTCTAAACTCAAGACAAAAGGAATAGGGAGTTCTAAAAACAATACTGGCGAGTCTGAATAGCAGAGGCCCATATAAGCTGCGTATCCGGGTAAAATACGCATAGAATTACGCATTGAAAAAATAATTGTTGCGTACCAATTACGCATTTAAAAAGGTAGATACGCAAAAAGTTTAAAACAAATGTGTACGGAATATATTTATAAAATTCCCTTGCTATAGGACAAGTGTTGTAATGTCAGTATAGGATGAGTGATTTTTTATGAAATCATTTACATAATATTTAAGTTGGTTTTGATTAGGTATGACATAAGGCAGAACATACCTGCTTAGTAAACTTGCTCAATGACATAATACTTAGGTGAATAAAGTGACTGAAATACGCACATATTTGAAAGCAGTGGGTAACGGAAAATGAAATACCCACTCAACATTCATAATACCCACTCCAAAAAAAATACAGTGGGTACAGTACCCACATGAGCTAAATCTTATCTGGAGCTCTGGAATAGTATTTGAACAAATATTATCCTTAAATGAGCATGATCTC